TTACTGTTTAAAAAAGGCTGCTGTATAATTGTTTTAAGAAATTTAGACATGAAAAATGGCCATACAAATAGCTGTAGATATGTAATTAAAGAATTGTATGATAACATTATCGACGCAGTCATTGCTACAGGCATTAATGCAGGAAAGCAAATATTTATACTACGTTTTAATTCAATTCCAACTGATGCTATTTATCCATTTCATATGTAAAGAAAAAGTTTCCAGTTCCGGGCTGCATTTGCTATAGCAGCTAATAAATCTCAAGGCCAGATATTAGATAGGATTGGACTGTATCTTGACAGATCAATGTTTACTCATGGTCAATTATATGTAGCACTTAGTCGCAGACGCAGTACCAGTATTATTAAAATGCTAACCAAAAACGCGCATTTATCCGATGGTAATACGCAATTTACTGATAATATAGTATATCCTGAAATTTTGTAAATAAATGCACTTATTAACATAGCATTATCCTATACATATAATATCTACATAGTTGATGTGAGATGATTTTATTGTAAATTATCAACGTAAGGCTTGAAATTATATCAATCGTAAATGTAAATTTAAATTAAATTAGGTTATTTTCATGATACCTTTAGTTTTGCGCATGATTTAAATCATTAAACAGTGCTATATACAGTACAATACATGCAAATTACAAGGTAAAAATCCAAGAATAGTAGCTGACAAACACGACATTGTCAATATTTTATTATATTTTCTTCCCTCCGTTCACATGAAAGGGTATTTTTTACTAGTACCATCAACTACGACAGGCAATCTTGATTGACAAATTGAGAAATCGAAAATTCATTCGATGGCTAGGAATTTCTATAGTAAATACCGTAGAGTTAGCTAAAAAACAGGAACTGATGTCTGTATGCAGTAAAGCTGTTAGATAAACTATCGTTACCAATATTTTATGTAGAAATAAATTGGATATAACTTAAAAATGCCAAAATCTATGGCTGTTGATCATAATAGATATATATAAGTCATATTTGTGATACTTCAAGTATGTTGATTTCAGCATCGTAGAATATAATACTAATCATAGAATTTTATTCTCGTAACAAGTTCCGTTAATGTTAAGCGAAGCTGTTTCCAATTGTAATGTTGTAAATAAGCTAGATAAAGTATTTAAGTATCCACGCTTTTCTGTTACTGTTGTTCTCAGTCCTTCTTTTCTAAGATCTGCTATTGTAAGAAGTTTTCCTTGTCTTTCAGAATTTGTTGCACTATACATAGTATCTCAATCAGTAGAGAATCAGGAATAAAATCTGCTGTAAAAAAATTACTTGTGGGATCTACACTCTAATTATAGCGAGTAAGACAGGTTTTGTTACACTGTAGTAGCCATTCAGAGTAGTATACAATCACTCTTCATAGTGTACAATCAATTTCAGTTCAAGATATCGATGATTCTGACTACTTATAAACTTTCAATCGGTTAACGAAGTAAAATATTTCCAAACTAATTTCGTATTAAGAACTGATGGAATGACAACGTTCTGTAAGGCAGCAATGTTTGAAATCTATAATCACTAAAATCATCATAGATATCATAATTTGCTGCATCATGTAATATCGATATTATATAAAAGATTTTGCGCGTGTGTGCACATTATAGTATATACTTTGCCACTCTGCAAAGCATATCTACAGGATAACCAGAATGCAGAGTTAAGGCTTATTTTATCGATATTTATAAATTATAGCCATGAATGCTCTGTACTACAGCGACTTCTACAAATGCTTTCTATGCTCAGGTATAACCACCATCTGCAGTCAATACAGGCAGCACAAACGTTTCTTGTTCCTATAGCTTCTTCACCAGCTAAACCTGATAATACGGTAACACTGTATGAAAATCCGGCAAGACACAAGCCTCCTTACGTTAGCGTTATACCATGCAAGCTCCGAAGTTATACCTCCAGATCTGATCGCACATCATAAGTCTCCATCAAATTCAGGACGTAACTACCTTGGCGCAAGTCTTAATTTGTAAATGAGAATAAATATGTATGCAGTCGTTCACTATAATAACTAGATATTATTCTATAAAGATTTTCTAGAATTAAGATTACACGTTACAAATATTCATATGCGCTAGGATATGTTATAATAATTATGTTCTTATCCAATCTTGTTTATTCATTTCGTTTCCTTCATGTTACGTTTCAGTCGCATGCATGATAGTACACTATTCCGTCAAAAGGAAATAAATTGAGGGAATCCAATAGCTTAACAGAATAGACATGTTGTCTCATTACAATAACACTAAGAGAGTCCTCGTAACTTTGTAGAAAACTACATCATGCATTTACCTCAATTACTATTTTATAGCATACGGTATTAGTATCCCCTGTGAGATATGGGCTATTTATTTTCTTAGTTATATCAGTTACACAAATGATTCTTAAGCTGGAGGCAAGAAATCATAAAATTTCATCACGCTAAAAATTATAAAAATAGAATGTTTTCATTTTATCATCATGAATAAAGATGGTACAAATAAGTCTTGGAGGTTAACATAATTTTCGGTAATTAAGAACGAAAATATCACTTTTTTTGTGCCATAAAAATGTGGCTATAAGAACGCGTGAAGGATGTCGTGGATTAGGTTTGCCAAGAGGTCTTGCACGTTTCCTAAGCTATACGAGTATGCGCGTATATTTGGATAAATAGTTCGCAATCCTACGTAGAATACTGTCGTTTCAAAGCATTGATTATTTGATTAATGATTGAGAATGACATAGTGTTCCCTAGTTTTAAAATGTAACGATTGCAGAGGTTCCTTACTATGTTCAGTTTACCCTGGCAATTATTGACCTACGGTCTATAATTGGAAGAGTTACATGGTGAACTTTTGCAACCACGTAAGCGTACACTGTACGGTAAAGTACTTAAATATTGATTTGTTGACACTAGCTCGGACATCATATCGTTAGCAATATTGCATCAGATTCAAATATGCCTATTGCTGGCCACTTCAAAAGGTACATTGTATTAATCAAAATTGACTCCAATTTTTGAGTTTGTAGTATTAAAGATAGCATAAAGCGTTTGGAAAATTTTGATAGTTGTTTTATAGCATTGCAATTTCTTGTCAACTTGGCTATAAGGTAAACTAATGTCAGCAAGTGCAAGCTAAACAGTATAAATATAGATATAAGGAAAATTAAGTTGGCTAGAATACAACATTGGTTACTACAGGCTTAGTTTACAGTTCTTTATCGAATGATCACTATCATTGTTGACGAATTATTCCAGTCATGATGATCTGCTGCTAGCTGTATCGAAGTATTCAGGATGTGAATCTTTCACCATCTCCCTACGCACTTCGGTGATTGCAGTACTTTTGCAGTGTAAAGTGGATTGATTATATTATCATTCTTATGCTTAAGATAATGACTAGAAATAGCAGCATTGGCCAAGCAACTATTACTGAGCTCATAAAGCAATGACTACTTTCCTTACTCTGCCTGGATATTTTGTTCTCTTTTATAACATAGTTATCGAAATGAAGGTGCAAAACGGTACAGTGCTGTAGTTGGAACATTTCTGCTAGCCAGACTAAAGTGCATGATCATCCACTGTCGCCTGTAACAACCCAACTGGTTATCCATTGTATTTTAGCTGACTCTAGGCTCTCATTAGGCTTGATAAAGTGGATTCATTCAACTGAAAGCTCATTTTCTAATAAAGCTACTATACAATCGCATAAGATCTATAATTGTAATCCACAACACATTATGTAAACTATAAACTGCATCTCAAGCCAGCCAAAGAGATCGTTGATACTTGAACTGCAGTAGACCTCATGATGTACGTGCATTGATCACCGCTATCCGTGGACGAACATGAAAGCTCTTCCAACACCATCTGCACTATCTCAAGCTGATTCTTTGTATCGGCTTCGATCCATTTCTTGATGGATATTGACGAGCTAATTCAAGCCACGAAAGTGGAATATTGGCTCGCTGATTTTCTACCCATCAGTAAAATCAATCAACATGGCAATGAATGAGTGAGTCACGTAGTCGGCGAGCGAATGACGAAATATTGCTTCGAGGATGCGCGAAGTACAGTACGATACGCTTGGATACGTACAGTATCACTGTACACTGTACACTGTAGGGTACAGTACGGTACAGTGTACAGTGTACAGTACAAGATGGTTATACAGTAGTACGATGTGAGCCAGTTCTCTTTACAGTGCTGTTAGGCAAAATAAATGGTAGTAAAGCAGCAAAATTTGCCTAAAATTCTATACATACAGATAGATGAATTCTTCAGCTTTATATTCATATAACTTTTGTTACATTTTTATTCACTCTGGCGATTTTAGGGTACCTTAAAGTACTCTGATTCGAACTGCTTCACACAGTAGTCAGTGACTCACTGCTGAAAATACTGTACTGTGTGGACTGTCATCAAAAAGGTGCAATCAAGCGACAGTGTTTTTGCGTTTATGTCAGTAACGGATGATTTGCCTTACTGTATTGACTTTGTCCCACATGATACCCTACGATATAGTATGATCGAGCTGAATGTCAGGTTCTCATTGCAGGCAAAAAGAATGTCACCTAGTCCCTGTATGCTAGCCAGGCACTGTCAAGGTAGAAATGCCGTTCGTACAGTATTCCAGTCTTGACCGACTCTCATTTCTAGACATTCTACACTTCTTTTGACATCGTTGGCAGACTATTGCCCCATAATACTTTCCAGGATTTCACACTGTCCGCTACGCTCAACTGCCGATGCAAGCATAGTTAAGGCATACAGCCATAATTTGGGGGGGGGTTACAGTGCGTATGGCTGCTCAGTACTACAACTGTATATGTCCTATACTGTACAACGTATGTGGTACGACAGTATATAAGGGCGCCAGCATGCGGCTAACCCTGACTAGCAGAGTTGTTTACTGCAAGCGTTGGACGCGTTTCGACCCGAGGTGATTTGAGGCTGCAGGAAATCTTTTTTTTTCAATCATGTCTTCTCTTGGTTTACCTAAAGATTATGGCTACTGTGTTTTGATAGCTGCCGACAGTGTCTTGGTGCTCATTTACTTGGGTATCCGAGTAGGTCGTGCTCGTAAGCAATTTGGTGTAGAGGTAAGAGAAAGTGTGTTGTTGTTGTTTTTTTCCATCGATATTGGATTGCATCATGATCGAGTCATGACGCAACGACACCGTAAAGTATACTGTATTTCAAGCGCCATCAGCCTTGCCTCTCCCTTTCAGTTTCCAATTAAACTAGCCATTCAATCAAAAGGGGATACAGATCCAGTTTGATCTTAACAAACATCCATCCATCCATTTTCTCCATTTAGAATTCAATATGGAGGAGTAGTTAGACTGCAATAGGCAAGAGTGTTGAGGCGGATTGATTTTGCTTCTCTTCGATTTGCCATTGGACCGCTAGATCGTTCGTTACCAATACAACCAAAGTCACCCTACCTTCGCCAAATTGCAAACTGCCACCTTACGATCACAGCTGGCGTAGGATCGCCAAGCAATGCAACGCCAGCCAAGTGAATTGGTGTTATACCCATCATCAAACTCCAATTTGCTATAGAAATCAAACGATTGATCTGGTGAATATAGACTATATAGTCTTTTATAACTTGATCGACTAGTTGTGACGATTGGCTATGCTGAAGGTCGTTTAGATCCCCTGTAAAGACACCGTTTTGCAGTCGGTGTTTTACGATCGATGCATTTTCCTATCCAATTTCGCTCTACTTTCTGTTATTCACGAAAGTGCAGTCGTGAAGAAAATGCCACTACTTGTATTGATTTAGCCGTGTCCATATACATTTTGTTGACCAACTCTAATCCAATTATTTTTTATTAACCATCATATTGCTTTGTCTTTAGTATCCCAAGATGTACGACGACGATAAGCCAATATTTAACTGCTTTCAACGCGCACATCAAAACACGTAAGTAGGAAAGAAAAAGTCAAGCAATGAACAGAAAAAAAAATAAAACAAATAATAAAAAATATAATGAAATGCACGTATGTCCATTTTACGAAATATTATGGAAAATAGATAGACTGTACCTTCTCAAACCAACCGTATACTAATGTCCATCAGTATCTCGATACTATTGGATCTTTACAATTGAATCATTGGCATTCAATTATCATTTCTCTACTGTCAAAAATGTTATTCTACTAGTAGTACGGCACCTGATGTCATTATCAATGTTACATCACCAAGAATAATTAAAGTAGTCATTATTTTCTAGGTAGCTATTAGCATCAAAATGAGGTTACTCTGTTCTGCTCAGTAGTTTGCTTTTCATTATCAACGTCTTGATGCTTAGTCGTTATTTGGCAATCTTTATAAGGATACGCTAAAATCAATAATGCACCGCTTTCGTTTCAGAGTAGGAGAAGTAATGTATCGTAATTAGCTATATAGTTTAGTACAATACTTTACAAATTCTTACTAATACTGAATAAATGATATTTTAAAGAGTTTGACGAGTTGGTTACTGCATTGATGGACTATTTCTGCTTTATAGTAGAGTGGTGTATCTTCATTAGCTTGGTGGTATGGTACATTAGAAAGGGTTGATTTAGGTGTCATCTGCAGTACTTTACAAATTTTTACCGATACTGGAAAGTGATGTTTTAAAGAGCTACTTATTGTAAGGACGGATTTTTTTATGGTGATCATGTCCTCCTAATTTACTTATCAAAGTACAGCACCTATGATAAATTCTTTGCCTTTCGTAGACTACAAATTGTCAATACTTTTTACTAGATAACGTAATGGTGTCAGACGGCAGTAATAGAATTTTATTTTGTATGATGCTTTATTGACTTTGTTGTATAAATCTTGATTCATTCCTAGCTTAGTATTTCTGTTTCTACTTACAATAGTTGCATCACATGTATGATATCATAATGACTATGTAGGCCCCAGCATAGTTGACTGTAATTTATTCAATTTTGTTACTCATGCAACAAATCCGACACTGCATAATGTACATCGTAACTCCTTAAGAATGATCGTGATGGCTCTCATTTTGATTTTTACAGCATTATCAGTTAATACAGTAGATATCATTTCGTTACTGGAATTGTTGCCATCAAGATATTGATCATTCTTCATAAGCAAAACAGGATAAACTGTAGTCTTTCTGTTACCATACCATGGACTTGTCTGTTTTTTATACTAACGTGAATTATTTCTTGATCATCAGATTGGAACACTATCCTCAATTTCTTTCCATGATGCTTCTTGGTGGATTGCAACATCCCGTAAGTGCTGCTAAATAAATGCGATGATGTAAATTCTTGACATAAAATCGAACATTGACTTTTCTAATGTTCATCGAATTGATTTCTACTGTTGTATTGTACGATTGCGTAGACAGTGTATTGTATGAGTAACGTAAAAAATCGATTGCCAAAGTAATTGTGTTCAGCCATGATACACAATAGTAAATATGTTTGCTCCTTTGATCTTTTATGGTATTAGCGATTAAGTGCTGCCTTTGGAGCTGTTTGGGTCCTTAGCCGATTGTTTTATGCTCACGGTTACTACACCGGAGGTTAGTCTTGTCTTGAATTGTAGAAATGTCACGATAAACGTTACTTTTCGGATATGTACGTCAATAGCATCTTAACAACTAGAGTCATGGATGCTTTTAATTCTCATAAAAACCAGATCCAGCCAAAAGAATGCGCGGAGCTTGGGGTGGAATTGGTTTTCTCGGAGTCATCGGCTGCGCCATCTCTTTCGGATTAAACTTATTGGAATACATCTAAACTTACACCCTATTGCTGTGTAGTACTAAATTACGTGTATAATCCTATCATTAATGAACTAATTTATGATTCGTCTTGCCTCAGAAGAAACTGGACAACAGTAGCTACTTAAGATGTAAGCTTGTACTATGTAGACGTCATTTTTGTTATCAAGTGCTAAAGTTCACCCAATTCTAGCTATTGTCTAGATATTGTAAGTCACCATTCTATTGATTGTATTCATAATAATTTAGCGACTAATGAAGTAGTCATTTTTTGGTATCAGAGGTTGTCCAAGTGTCTATTCCAATAAAGTATTCAATTGAAACTACTCCATGAAGTGATCATAATTGACGAAATTCAAATGCACGCATTTTCTTTCCTCGATAAGTTTATCCTTGAAGCATGTTTAATATACCCGTATGATAGAATTGGATAAGCAAAATAGTCAAGGCCAAACCATTTGACAAAACAATACTGTAGTTGTATCATTTGAACATTAGAGAAGGAAAGGCTTACATTTATGTCCGTACTTACTGTATGTATACAGTTGGGTTATAGATAAGATAGATTTTAAGTCTTAGAAAGCACGTAAATAGCTGCCACAAGACAGCAATTACAAGTCGAAAATCAATAAGATTTTACAGTATAGATTAGGTACGTAGGCAGGTTACCTTGGTAATATCATGAGCAAGGTTCGTAAAATATCCAAGCATTAACCTCTCAAAACTCATATCAAACGAATTACAGCTCACAACATGTCTAACTTACGAGAGACTATCTACACTAGAGAGTAGAGGATGACTACGCATTTCGCTACTTTAGTTAGGATCATTAGCGATATATTTCTTGATAGCAAACGAACAGTACGTGCTCAACATGGTAATTTTACTAGCAAAATACATGATGAAAATGTATGGCAACAGAGAGGAAAACTGCTAACAAACCAAACACGTACAATTACTAGGAATCATCTGATTACATCTAAATGAGAGGTATTACAGCATTATCAGTTTAAGTTGTAGATATTGTTAAAAAAAAATCATCGTTAATGTACAGATTTAATTATAAATACAGTTAGACTATACAATATAATATAGTTATTCAAGACATGCATTTATATGAGCATAAAGATTTTGGAGTTTTAGAATACCAGCCCATCTTTACACATTAGGAAGAAATGACGAAAGCATTGATATACAAAAGTTTTTGCCAAGTTTAGAAGGTGAAATCCTAAATCTGAACTCGTAATATTTCTCCTTTCTTAGTAGTTGAGTTTAGGCCATATAGAAGGATAATATACGGTTTGTGTTTTACTTACAGCTAATCGCCATTATTGAGTTGCCGTTCATAGAAACTAATATATATTCGTAAACTAGAAATTGAAAGTATAGTAAAATAGTGACAGACACGATATAATTTTACTTGTCTTTCAATAGTAATCAATTTATGATTTCCAATTTGGTTTAGTAACAAATTTTATCATGACCATTGATCTGCCCTCCATATTAATAAATTGGTACTATTTGACTGAGTCTTCATTGGGCGAAATAGATCATTGAATCCTTTTCCACATGCCACTACTAACTGTTGCGTTCTGATTGCATCTTGCCTTGCCTGAACCTCGAGTATGCTTTCACTAGGATCACCACCGGACATGCGATTGATATCCCCCCGAAACTTGGCTGTATTTTTGACAATCATTTTCATGGGTAATAATGAATAAAAAATATTCTGATGGCATCGAAACAGTGTCATTACTTTCCGGTCCATTGCATGAACGACCACCAGGTAGCCATTACTGCATCCCAAGTACAAGTATTGGTCAATGATGTTAATCGAAGTGATGGATGCTAATACGTTTCAAGAGTATTGGTTGAAAATTAGTACAACTAGATTGCCTTTAAGATTGTCAATATAATCTTTCCATTTGGTATATATTATTTGTGATATAATCGACACATTAAACTACTAGTATATATTGCCTTGACAACAACACTCTACTATTAACGCAAAATTACAGTGTATTTCGGTCAATTTAACTATAAACATGATTTGCACCATTCACAATTAAGCAAACGGTAAAAGATTTAATCGATTACTGAAGGCAATTGCAAATGTTGAAAGATCTAGTTAACATTTTAATAAGGCTTAGTGCGGTAGCAACATTTAACTTTGTAAATATTCATGAATGCTATAATGATAGCCTTGCTATAGATAACCATTGTAACTAACTAAATGAACGGATAAGATAATTTACGATTTTTGCAATTGTTTCCAGGTGACAAAATTCAAATACACAGAATTCTTGACAATTTCTAAATAATCATAACCATGTTGATATCTATTTCTTACCTGAGAGAATTGCATGCTCTGTATCAACGGTGGAGAGATCGAAAGGTGGCAAAGCTTGTTTGCTCATCGCTGACCAAGAATAAATAGTGCAAGAGTCTTCACCAATTGCCCAGACTGCCGTAGTCTCAGCGGTTATCTCATGGTGATTTTTGATACAACTATGATTATGGGTTGCATTCGTTGCTAAATTAATGACATTGCCATGAAAATGATCTATTGATAATTTACATTTAATATTTAGCGAAGCTTCGTCAAGAATTTGCACTTGGCCTCCAGCAAGCCCACACCACAATTCGCCACTGTTATCATCTTCGTAATTCACATAGATGATGGAATAGATTGTACAATCAAAACTTTTATTTGCGCATTCGATTAAGGTCAATGAAGGATGTTTCCCACTTGATTTGGTCTTATTGAGGTTATTTACAATATTACCAACTTTAAAATTAATATGATGCGGCCAACTACCATACAGTGGGCTTGTATTTTTACCAGGTTGGCCAAGAGCGTTGATATCTGTATCTTGAGATTCCAGGCTAGAACTTTTATCCGATGAAGTAGAACCTTCCTTTCTTATTCGAGTTAGACTACGACTACGTGTAGGGGTCTTTAAGACGTCTTTAAATGTAATTAATTTTCCATCCGACAGAGCAACAGCAACCAGATGTTGATCCATAGCATGGACTATTGCTGTAGTAGAGATCAAGAAGTGATCGCTGACTTGCTGCGACAATAATAACTGATGGCTGGTAGAGTTAAAGATATGCAGATAGCCACCTTGAGTACCAACCCAAACAGCTTCATCAACAACGCAAATACAAGTAATTGCCGATTTTCCAACAACGATTCTCTATTAGAAGATAAGAAAAGATAGATGTGGTTAGCTAAGTTTCGTATATGCTATCATTTGCTTTTCGACTGCTCTATCTTTTTCTATTAACACAGTAGTTATAATCGATTCATATTATAACAGAGATTTCTACAAACTGTACAAAGGCTCTATCTCTATTAATTATCACTCTCGCATATACTTTATAGGGCTAACAAAGTAATAGAATAAACGCATATACTAAAAATTGCAGTTATAGAAGAGCAAAATGTAACATTGTAAACTACTGTTGGCAAATATCTTTCATGCCAAACCTGAATTATAATACTCGGAAATACTACGCTAATAAATTTAGAGCATTACAGGATGATATCCGAAAATTCCTGCGACTAATTGCAAAAAAAATTACTAACGAAAGTATCATGAGATTGGCGACCTTGAAAAGTTCCTCTTTAGTTGTAGTTAGGTCATAGAAATCAGGATATATATGAGCCAATAGAATTACAAAGTCTGACTGAAACTGTAAGTCACTACTAACAAAAGTTGGTGGGCATAATTTATAATGATAAAACTACTTAAAAACATTTAATATAGTTCCTGAAACGAGGATGTACCATAAACTCTTTGGACTATTTGTATTGCTATGTGCTAATTTCATTAATAACAATAAAATTACTCAATATATATCTACTCCTATCTTGCGAGTATATCAAGCTGGCATAACGTCTTCGTTTAAAGAAATACTTTTAAATTTTCTATAGATTGAATAGCAATCAAATATTTCTTACCTCTTCGTTCATGATTAAACCGTTATCGAATTGCAATACATTTATTTCACCATAGTTCGTTTCACCATAGCCAAGCCAAATTTCGTATTCCATACTTTGCTCTATAGCTGTTTCATCTACAACAAGGTTGAAAGTAGCCGATAGCAAAATTAGTTCTCTCTCATAATTTTATTTTATTTTAAGATCCGATAGTACACTAATTTTAAATCACCTGTCTTAGCATCGCTAGCCTCATCTGGTGAAAGAATAAATGATGCTCCACATGTTACTGGTAATAGCGTTACTAACTGGACATTGTCAATCAGTCGTAAAAATTTTGGATTGTTGGCAATATCTAATATTTGTGTAAAAGATGGACGTTCGATAGGATCTTGATTCCAACAGCAACGCATTAACTCCAGGAGAGGTAATGGCGTTTCTCTTTTCTAAAAATAAAGTTGAAAATGAAAGTATGAGTTTTAATCCGATTTTAAAGGTTCTATCACCTAAATAAAGATGCTAGTATTGAAAAGCAATCTGTAAGCTACTAAGCAATGCACATGATATAATATATTATTGGGAAAACTTCATATATTAACGAGAATCTATAAATTTAATATATCACAAATAATTATTAGACAGTTATTTAAAATATTTAGCGTTACGTGTATCACTAGGAAAATTTCCGGTATTAACAATCCATAAATTTAATATATCAAATCATAGTAAGAAAGCGTATTTGTGTAATATTTATAGTTCCATATATCACTTGAAAAGCTTAATTTAGTAACAATAATCTATGAATTTAATGTACTATGAATAATTATAATTAGAAGACATCCTTTCGGAGTAGAATATTTTTCGTAGATAGTTATTAAACTAAGCATCAGCCAAATTTAAGCAGTCTTACTGCTCGAGCATCAATAGTATGCTCATATACTATCGTATTATAAATAAATCATATCTTGGCAATATAAGGATTCTAAAGTAGCGTTCTTTAATTAATAAATAAATGATCGCATTTCATGTATTAATAGCACGAATAGTTAAGCAACTTTGAAATTCTGGAT